GGGGGGAAGACGAGGAGAAAAGTGTGCAAGTCTAGGGAGATTGTCACGCCTGGCCGGTACTGCACGGCTGGGCATCCGGGCATGACGTGCACAAAACAAAAAAAAAAAGAAAAAAAAAGAAGAGGTTTTCTGAGGTCTCACAGAGGACCCCAAATCCGGGCTCTTTTTTTTGTTTTTGAGAGTTGTCTGTCAAGGCGGGGGGAGGGAGGAATAACTTTGGTCTTGAAGGGGATAAAGTGGTTTAAAGGGGTGTCGTCTTAGTGTGATTCTGTTATCCTCTTTTTTATCTCCGGTTCTGTGAGGAATTCTGATGTGCCCGTCGCGCAGAAGTCAATAGAGTAATGCTTGATTTTTTTTTATTATTTTTTTTTCTAAAAGCTATCGACCGTGTGGCTGAATGGTAAGCACATGTCATTGTGCGTAAGCACATGGTGAGTTTGAGTAATGAGAGAATTATATGGATATATATGGATAAGACCGACAGTTCTCATGCAGGCTCTTCATACTCACAGGTAGTATGAAGGAAAAGCCTAACGGGGCAAAGACAGAGTAGCAAATATGTAGCAATGGCATGCAGGATGGCGAAGACAAGAGTGGACTTACGTAGAAATTGCATGCAGAATGGAGAAGTCAGACTGGATTTTATCATTTTTCATAGCAATTGCATGCAGGATGGAGACGTCAGACTGGATTTGATAATTATACGTAGCAATTGAAACGGTATTCACCAGTTCGCAGTAGCCGATGCAGATCCCAGGGCTCGATCCCTAGACCTCACCCTACCTGTGTACAGTATCTGTGTCGACCCCGAGAGTTGAACCCGTGACCTGTGTATTTGTAACAGTTGGTGGACTGTCGTAGGGTCCGTAGGTAGCAGGGGTTCGATCTGTAGACCTGTCGAGTAGAAGTCTTAGAGAGTTCGAGAAGTCGTAGCTGCTACAGTCCTGAAGGGACAAGGTCGTAGCTGCTACAGTCTTCGAAAGGCCAGGACCCAGACTTCCGGAAGGTCCTAGTAGTGACCTTTCGAAGTTGCTCACGTTTGGGCTGAGGCAAGGGGGCAAGTGGGCAAGTGGGCAAGTGGTGAGCCCAACTGCAGTACGTCGGCCGTGAGATTGCATCGAGTTGGCAGTGCAAACCCATGCAGTCAGCGTACCGGTACCAGTCAGTCCTAGTCCAGTCAAGCAAGTACCGCATGGGACTGTGTGCACCACGTGCAAGGGAAAGGGCCAGACCAACGAGCTACAGAAGTATAAATCAAAGGGCAGCGTCCAGCCATTCATTCATTCCTGAGTGAGCCATGCGGAAGCGCTGCCACAAGCGACTTGTGCGGGGTGGTCTGCAGTGAGCCCGAAGACGAAGTGGGCGAGAGAGAAGAAGCTTAGCCATAGCGATAGGGTAGCAGCGGCCATAGCCGCCATAGCTGTAGATAGTGTTCAGTGTGTGTGTGTGTGTGTGTGTGTGTGTGTGTGTGTGTGTGTGTGTGTGTGTACAGAGTATCACGTGTGGGATATCCAGGGTGATCCTGTGTGTGCGAACAGAGAGTTGTGTGGGCGCTGAGTCGCCATAGCCATTGAAGTGAACTTGTACCTGAGCTGTGTTCTTGACTACCATATCTCTGAGTTTTGAGTGGGCGCTTGTCGCCAGTTTGCTGCGCACCTGTTTGCATGGATGAGAAGTGTGATTGAGAGCGAGTCTGATTGCACAATTGCCTGCAGGATGGAAAAGACAGACTGGCAATTGCATGCAGGCTGGCAAAGACATTGTGAGTTCACATAGGAATTGCATGCAGGATGGAAAAGACAGCCTGGAATTTATGTAGCAATTGCAGGCAGGATGGAGCAGTCAGACATGATTTTACGTAGCAATTGCATGCAGAATGGAGAAGTCATACGGGATTTTATCATTTTACGTAGCAATTGCATGCAGGATGGAAAAGACCGACTGGAATTTCAGTAGCAATCGCATGCAGGATGCCAACCACAGACGAGCAANTGCAGGATGGAAAAGACCGACTGGAATTTCAGTAGCAATCGCATGCAGGATGCCAACCACAGACGAGCAACTACGTAGCAATTGCATGCAGGATGAAAACCACAGACTGCATTTATGCGCCAGTTGCACGCACGATTTCTGTCCACGTCAGACTGGATTTGTCAAGTAACAATTGCATGCACAATGACCACCACAGACTGGCAATTGCATAACAATTCCATCCAGGTTCGCAATGTAGGACTGGCAATCATGTGAGGTTTTTTACAGATGTAGAGGAACAGCATTCTATTCTTCTTCTTCTTCTGCTGCTGCTGCTGCTGCTGCTGCTGCATCTGCTGCGGCTACTGCTTCTTGTTGTTCTACTTTTCCGGGAAATAAATGGGGAACACACTTTTTGATCAAAGAGAGTCGCAGAGGAGATCACCGATGATGAAGTCAGCTGCATGATTGGGACAGACAGGAGAACAACTGAGTGCAGGGGAGCAGGAGGAGAGGGGGGGAGGGAGAGGAGGTGGAAAACCATTAGTCTGGTTCTTGAAAACCCGGTCGAGACATTCAGGACTGGTGGAAGGAGCAAGTCTCTTTCTTTTTTTTTTTTGGTTGCCAGCCTGACTCACATCATCTGCACCTTGCCGTAGACTGTTGGAATGATTTCAAATCTTCTTTCTCCCGCGGGCTAAGTGCGCTTTCGTCAACACGGCACTGACGACGACGGGCCAGGCTGAGGCTGACCCAGTAAAGCAGAAGTCGAAGTGTCAGATTGTGAATTTGAAAACACGGGTTGGTTCAACTCCCGTTATTCGCCTCTTGCATCTGAACTCTGGCCAGCCTAAATCCAGCCAAAGCTGGCGTCAAGACAGTTATTCATTGACTGAAGTCAATGAACAAAATCCTGCAGTTGTCTGGCCCATCTACCAACTGCGACCTTTTCGTAAGTTTTTTGAACTCTTTTTCCTTTTTTGCGCTTTTTTGTGCTTTCTCCCTGCTGCTTTCTGATCTGAGAATAATGCTTTGGACAGATTGAGAAATAATATGAAAGAATTTCAAAGAAAGGATATTAAAAACAAGTATTTATTACAAGTTACAAAAAAAGTTAATAAATCATCCTCGTTCATCGATCATCTCTTGTTTTCTCTCACAAGACGGAGGTCTATCATCATTCACTCCACTAATCTCGGAAAAGAACAACAACGTCCTCTGTGACTCTTGTCTCCAAATGAGACACATAATTGCCATTCATTGGACGCACACTACGACCAACATCCTTCTTCGTACGATCTGGGACCTCTCTTACGGCAAACGGCAAGAATGAACATTCTGCCGTCGAAGTTTGAACCAGTCAGTGCCTACCAGAATCTGTCCTGGTATTGCCCTAAGCCGTAAACCCTTGACCCTAAATCCACTCTAAACCCTAAACTCTAAACCCTCTCAACCA